AATTCTTCCTGAAAAATATAAACAACCTAGCAAGGTTAGATGATTCGGAGAACATCGTCAAAAATTCAAGCATATAGCGGGAAAGAAAACTTCCCAATTCTAAATAACTTCTTAAACTTACACGGATCGGGTGTCATGGATGAATGGGAGAGAATGTGTTCTGATTCCGAAATATATTCCTTTTCGATTCTTAACAATACCAGTTAAATAGATTTCTGGGTGAAAAGTAGTCTCACAGAAGTCGAGATAAGAACAACTATTGCTAAAAAACAAAAAAACTGCTGGCGAAGACGAATTCTGACGTGAGATATCAAACTTCCTGAACTCGGGTGATATCTTTACTACTATTTCCGTGGGCATGTAAGTTTCTAGGTAGTAACCGAATCAGTGGTACCGAGAATCTTAAATTACAGGGATACCTTTCTGCAAGGCCACCTTGCAAAGTTTAAGCAATTTACTGCAAAGGAGACACCTGTAACTGATAGCGACGATCGTTCGAAACAAGCAGTCTGACTTTCATCCTAGCCGTGGCGCGATGGATCAAGTCTTTACTCTCTGCTAAGTCCGTACAAAATACTCAGAATATTCGAAAGAGGTTTCTGCGTGTATCAGACTTAAAATTGTTTGGACGAGGGCGTAAGTTCTGGATGGTGCTATAAGACTATAAGGTTACAGCCAACTTTTGAAACAGTCACGTTTATATTAGCGCTAAAGAGTACACGCCCTGGTTAACAGCAGGAAGATGAAGTCTCTAAGGGCGTCTGTTGGCTCCTTTTCCCGATTTGTATGGACTAAACTAAATTCCAAGGTGTTCCTAATAAACTCATATGGGTCTGCGAAACGCTCACATGAAGATAAGCCTGATCGAACTGTAAGCTTCTGTATTGTGGAGAAATGACCAATCAGGGTGTTCAGCAACTAAGTTGAGTGCAATCAAGGTAGGCACGGAATGGAATTACACACATGAACCAGTCAAGCGAGCGTTTCAGGGAGGGAACTAAGTCGATCTACTTCACTGAACCGTGGTAGGAAGCGATTTGT